TAATTGTTGGTCAAGATTCTACCATGATAAACAGGTTGAAATTGGAGTTGAGCAAGTCTTTTGCTATGAAAGATTTGGGACCGGTAAAGCAAATTCTTGGTATGAAAATTGTTCGTGATTGCAAAGAGGGGTTGATTTGGTTGTCTCAAGAAAGTTACATTGAGAAAGTTCTTGAGAGGTTCAACGTGAATAAAGCAAAGTCGGTTGGTTGTCCACTTGCGGGTCACTTCAGGCTTAGTTCGAATCAATGTCCTACAAGTGAGGAAGACAAAGAAGAGATGTTGAAAGTTCCTTATGCTTCAGCAGTTGGTTCTTTGATGTACGCCATGGTTTGTACAAGGTCGGATATTGCTCACGCAGTTGGTGTGGTGAGTCGGTTTCTCTCTAATCCGGGTAAAGAACATTGGGCAGCGGTAAAATGGATTCTAAGGTATCTTCGAGGGACTTCGAAGGTGTGTTTGTGTTTTGGGGGTGGTAAGCCGATGCTTGATGGGTTCACAGATTCTGACATGGCTGGTGATGTTGATTCTAGGAAATCTACTTCGGGGTATTTGATGACTTTTGCAGGGGGAGCTGTGGCATGGCAATCTAAATTACAAAAATGTGTTGCTCTCTCAACTACCGAAGCTGAATTTATTGCCATTACGGAAGCTTGCAAAGAAGAGTTATGGTTGAAGAAATTTTTGCAAGAGTTGGGTTTGAAGCAAGAAAAGTATGTGCTTTATTGTGATAGTCAAAGTGCTATTCACTTGAGTAAACATTCTACTTTTCATTCGAGATCGAAACACATTGATGTGAGATACCATTGGATTCGTGATGTGTTAGATTCGAAATTGTTGCAACTTGAAAAGGTTTACACGGATGATAATATTTCAGATATGTTGACTAAGACTTTGTCGAGAGACAAACATTTAAAGTGTCGAACTTTGGCGGGGATGGTTGATTTCTCCACCTAAGTCGGTAGGGGGAGAATTGTTGGGTATACCTCCTTATTGGAGTGTGGGACCCAATTGATTTATTAAAAGAGTTTTAATTTGGTTTGGTTTAAGTATAATATATTTTTATATATTATATCTAATTTTGTGGAGACCCAATTCAATTTGGAAACAACTAAGGTTTGATAATAAACCCTAGATTAACAATATTTTAGGATTTTCTTTTGCTCATCCCTAGGTGAAGAGAACGGCTGCTACATACTCCACTTTGGTGAAATCAATTATTTGGGTGTGTGAACAGTGGAATTAATTTGGGTGGTTCTTTGCTTCATTTTCGGTGTTGATTTGGTTCGTTATTTTGGATCTTTTACAACTCTGATTCTGAAGATTTTTGTTCACCTATTTGGTGAGGTCTTTCCTCTTGTTTATTTGTGATTATTTGGAATTCACCTAAGGGTGGTTTTGTGAGACCATTAGTGTCTCGTTCGTAATCGTTTGGAACTTATTTGGTTGATAGTGGAATCGGATTAGGGAACCACGTAAAAATTCTTGTGTTGCCTTTGATTTAATTTTTCCGCATTAGTTTTTATTCCTATTGATTGATTTACTTGTGGGGAATTACATATTTTCCCTACCAAAAAAAGTTTCGTTTGAATTAGATTTTTTGACTTTTTTTTTTAATTTTTATAAGAAAAAAGTGAAATGATTATGATTTAGATATAACATTTTATCTTATTAATTTTTTAACTTATTTTATATTTTTACGACTGTTTTAATCTTTTAACCTCCCAACCCAACCGAACCTACCAAAGGAATTTTCATGAATAATTTATATTTGGGCAAATTATACTAGCAGTCCCTATAGTTTTCGAGCTCATGTCATTTTAGTCATTGACTTTTCAATTGTGACACATTTGACTCTAAATTTTGAATCTTGTTTCAAATAAGGACAATTGAGGATACCATTACTTAATTTTAAGGGCAAAAATATCAATTTGATAAAATATAAACTAATTTGACAAAAATAAAAAATAAAAAAATATTTTTAAATTTTTAAAAATTATTCAATGTGTTTGGTTTGAATTTTCTAGATTAAGTTTTTTGAAAACTGAGTTTTTTGGTTTTCGTGTTTTTTTTTGTTTTTAGTGAATATTTTTTAAATTTAAACATTTTTTTTTAATTTTTTTAGATGCACCTTACTTAAATGTATCTATAAAGTAAAAAATTTGTGAAAAAATATTTTAAAAAATTAATAAATACCTAAAAATACCAAAAAATATACTGAATTCTTGTATCTTTTTTTATTTTTGGTATTTAGTAAATTTTTAAAAGATTTTTTTACAATTTTTTTAATTTTTATGTGTATTTATGTTAGGTGTGTCTAAAAAGTAAAAAAATTGTTTGAAATATTAAAAAAAATTAGTAAAAACAAAAAAAAAATACGAAAAATAAGAAAGTAGAATTTTTTGAAAAGTATTTTTGGAAAAATAGAACCAAGCAAGCTGAATCATATAAAATTGATAAATCTTTTAGACATCTATTTATTTATTTATTTTACCACACTAATTTGTATTATATGTTTGGATGATGATCATGTAATGGATAGTTGTTAAGTTTTTAATATGTCATTGATATATTTAATATATGAAATGTTTTCAGTTTTTGATTTAATGGATTGATTTAATAATGATATCAAAGTTGTTGCCATATTTGACTTTTGGAAAAAAATAGAAACTAATTTAATGAAAAGAAAAACAACCACCCATTACATAATTATCATCCAAACGCATAATAAAAATTAATTTCGAAAAAAAATAAATGCCTAAAAGATTAATCAATTTTACATAATTTTATCTTTAGTGTGCAGAAATAATTTTTAAAAATTTAAAAATATTTTTTTGACATTTATTTGTCGAATTAATTTATATTTTATCAAATTGACGATTTTGTCATTGAAAAATCTAATGTTATCTTCAATTGTCCTTATTTGAAACAAGATTAAAAATTTAAGATCAAATATATCACAATTGAAAAGTTAGAGATCAAAATAATACAAATATCAAACTATAAGTCCGTTAGTATAATTCACTGTATATATTTGTGGGTGATGATTTCCGACCACACAACCAAACAGAGAATTAAACTGGAGAGCACGCGACAGAATAGATTAAGCCAACCACTTGTCAACAAGAAGATGAGAATATCGCAGTGGTTCGTCCACCCGTGGACATTCAAACGATCAAGTCAGTCAACTTATCTCTCAGAGATATCAAACAAGTACTCAATACATAAGTCAGAACATACCTTAGACCCACAGGATGCCTCACTTTTGTAATGATCAGTGTTGAATTTTCCTTAGAAGTCTTATTTCATGAGACTCTATCTTTTATAAGGATAACATCTATTACAACTCACACTATTAAGATTAAGATAAACTTCTTCAAGAATCACATCTCTATCAAAATAGATAGCTTGATACCATCTACGACTCTTGTCCTTTATTCACATTTCTACATTACTGCATCATATCTTGACAGTAACACAATAATCTCGACATCATAGCTTACCCACGTGATACCTCAGCCACGTGATATGACTATAAAAATATGTCCCCACAATATTTATATGATTCCAATAATGAACTTCCTCAAAAAAAAAAAAAAAAAAAAAAAAAAAAAAAAAAAGAAAAAAAAAAAGGGTGAACCTAAGCAGTGGTGGCTAGAAACAAGCAAGTAGTAGCCTTCAAACTAACGCCAGCCAAAAAATTAAAGCCAGCCAAGGTGTAAATTGGTAGTCCCAACCCAAAGAGGTCCTTTAAATTAACGCCATCCCCAACAAAGATTGTTTATAAACGTCGTTCCTTATAGGGCATTCTCTATTCTTGCAGAGTCTAAATTGAACCATGAAAGTATACAGCGAAACAAGAAGAAGCAGAAGAAAGCTTATCATCGGCTGTACTTCCTTGGAACATTCATTCGCTGCTGAATTAATTGCCAACAATTCAGATCTTCTAACACAGATCCTAATCCGAGTCCCAGCAAAATCCCTAATCAGATTCAAGTCGGTGTCAAAGCAATGGCTCTCTCTCATCTCCCACTCCCAATTCGCCTCCGACCACGCTCGCCGAAATCACCACTCCTCCGTCTCAGCCTTATATTTCTACTCAAACCGTTGGTCTCCCGATGAACAGCTACAGTCTGTATCAATTGCTGGACACCAAACTCTTTTTCCCACACTCTCCTTTCTCGATGGTGTCGTTGTATCAAGTTTTGCAACTACGATTGAACGCTCTTGCAATGGTTTAATCTTGTGCTCTAATGGTTTCAGAAAACATTCATATATTGTTTGTAATCTCACCACAAAGAAATTCTCACTTCTTCCTGCTATTGGTCCCACTTCATCTGAATCGTATCGTAAAAATGCTGCTGCTTTCTTGGCTTTTGATCCTGCGAAATCGCCTCACTATAAAGTTTTATTGTTTAGTTACAGTTATGTTAATAATGAACACTGGGTTGAAATTGAAATTTACAGTTCGCAGACTTCGTCTTGGAAACACGTTTCTGTGCCTAAACCGCGAGCTGTGCCATTCAAGTTCAGCGTGTTTTGGAACGGAGCAATTCATGGTATAAGCTATGCGAATGTTCATGCTCGATTTGAGGTTGAGGAAGAGAAGTTTATACAAACCCCAATGCCTCGAAACCCTAAAATCATTTCTCCTGATAAGATTAGGTATTTTGGAGAATGTGGTGGCGATTTGCTTCTTATTCAGACTCCTCAGCCTTGTGCTATGGGATTCAGCGTCCTTCAGATGCACAGGGATTACTGCGGGTGGATTGTGAAGTACCAGGTCAATCTTAGACCCATTTTATCTGTATTTCCTAAGACAGAACGCAAAACCATAGTCACATGCTCTGAATTTAATGTGCTCTGTGCCGTGAAGGGAGCGAATGAAAAAGATTTTACACTGGTGTTAGCTATCTGGGGCAAAGTTATTTCTTATAATGTCAAGTCCAAGACATTGAAGGAGCTTCATGATTTATCAACAGAAGATACTGTTCATTGGGGAGCAAGTTGGTGTAATGCTACTTATCAATTCATTGAAAGCCTATCACCTGTTTGATCATTGTCCTACATGTTTCTACTTCTTTCTTCAGCATATGGTACGTCCCTCAATAAACTTTTCTATATTTGTATAAGTATTTGTTATTGTTAGTTTCTTGGTCTGTGATGCTATGCTACTATCATCTTTTGATATTTAGATTCTTCATTCATCAATTAAGGCTGAATTATCAATTTTGTTGCTTTATATGTGAGCCCTGTTTTGACCACGGTAATTCATTCACTCAAGTATCATTTAGATTGTTCTGATTACCAAAGAGGGTATGTTAAACTCATTCACTTCCTGGTTTTAATCTCCTAGTTATGATGTAGTTGGGTGGAATGGTTTTAAATGCTCTAGGAAGGAGTAGAATATATTGAAACAATCCGTTGTTTGCAACTGTCATTAATTATTAGTAGTGCCTTCTTGTGAGGACAGGAGAGAGACTAGGTTTCTTTTTTTGTAAAATGTTTCTAGCAAATAAGTAAAAAATTATGAAAAAGATCTTGTACATCCATGCTACCTCACTAGTTCTTCCAGAATAAAATGAATTTCCTTAACAAATCAAGAGATGTAAGGTGTTTGTTTACATAGGAGCCAATAATTGTGTTCAGAACTTGTAAATAACAATTATTAAAAAAAAAAGAAAAGATTATGCTGGAAATTTGTGTTAATAATATGATAGTGGTGTTGGTGATAGATAGTGGCATGTATAGAATATGTGATAGTGGTGTTTATATAGATGATGCTGGAAATTTGTGTTAATGTATATAATAAGATAGTGGCATGTATATAATATGATAGTGGTGTTGGTGGCAGATAGTAGCATGTATAGAATATGATAGTGGTGTTGGTGGCAGATAATGGCATGTATATAATATGATAGTGGTAGATAGTGGTAATATATAATATGTAAGTGGCATATAATGAGTTGTAATGATGTTTGTAATATCTCCTATATAAGAAGTGTCATTTGGTCTTGTAAGATAAGAAGTTTTGAATATAACAGAAATATATTCCTTCTTCCCCATATTTTTGGAGTTCTTCTTCCTCATATTTTCTAAGTCATTATGTCAAAAGGTTAGGTATGTACTCAATCTTTGCCCTCCCAAACACACATTAATGTGTATTAATTGGGTGTTGTGTTGTGTTGTGTTTTTTTTTTTTTTTTTTTTTTTGTTTTTTTTTAAGGCACCCTCGTGGGTCTAAAGTATGTTTTTATGCTCTGTCTAGTGAGTTAAGCATTATTGGCTATCTTTAAGAGATAATTACTGACTTGATCGTCGGAGTGCCCTTGGGTGGACGAACCACCGCCAGACTCTTATCTTTCTATGACAGGTTGATCGGGTTTAATCTATTCTGCCGGTGCTCTCCTGCTAAGTATTCCCTGTTTAGTTGTGTGGTCAAAAATCAACACCCACAATTTGGCACCGTCTGTGGGAACGTGAGGAGAATAGATGGCCAACGACGGGCAGAAAGAAAAGATTGAGGGCGACATCCCTAGTGGAAGTGGCAAAAACGCTAATCCTAACGTTGAGGAGGACAACTGTAATGAAGAACCTCGGGATCAGAATCCCGAGGAAAATGACGTTGGCCAAGAGGGAGACGCACCGAAGAAAGCATGTCAAGACGGGTATTACAACGAAAGCGACCTCTAGGTATGAAAAGATAGATAACTGAGGAAGGATGGCGAGATGAAGGGAATAGCAAACAAGTTGGCAGACCTACAATCGATTGTCAACTTCATGATGCAGAACAACGTCATGCAGCCACCGTTTTCATTGGAGGACACGCCGATTCCAGCAGCCAAGAACAATGCCCAGAAAGGAGGACAAAAAGCAATCCCTGCAGTCCCTCAGCATGAAAGTGCAATGAAGCATTCGCATCGGCCTTCACGGGAGGTTAGGCGAGAAGAATCGATGAAAAAAGAGTCTCAGAAAACACATCGTGCCAAGGTGTAGCACGCGCCCGCGGAGGGGGGACCTCGCTACTGCAGTTCGGACTCGATTTTGTGCTACGATTCTTAATCTGAACCAAAGAGTCCAAATCTGGCAAATCGTTTTGAGAAACAGATTTTTGAAAAAGTAGTGCCAAACATGGACTGCTTTGCCAGATACAGAGTCGCCACCTAAATATTTTAAAATGGGGGAATTTAGGAAACCCTGACTCGGTGCCGAAGGCCACATGTCCGTCATCACCGGAGTTGTCTCGGCTCGGGAGCTTGGGTACGATCGGGGAAGGTCAGCTATGAGCACCCCCTTTCGCCCAGTCCGAAGACCGGCCTCTACTAACCATGATATCCGATTTTGAAAACGCTATGTGTTCTTAAACCAATTATTAGCCTAGAAGTACTATGTTATGCGCGCAGCAAACAAGTATAGACTAGATTGCCTAATTTGGAAATAAACATTGCATATAACCAATTATTAGCCTAGAATCACTATGTTATGCGCGCAGCAAACAAGTATAGACTAGATTGCCTAATTTGGAAATAAACATTGCATATAACCAATTATTAGCCTAGAATCACTATGTTATGCGCGCAGCAAACAAGTATAGACTAGATTGCCTAATTTGGAAATAAACATTGCATATAACCAATTATTAGCCTAGAATCACTATGTTATGCGCGCAGCAAACAAGTATAGACTAGATTGCCTAATTTGGAAATAAACATTGCATATAACCAATTATTAGCCTAGAATCACTATGTTATGCGCGCAGCAAACAAGTATAGACTAGATTGCCTAATTTGGAAATAAACATTGCATATAACCAATTATTAGCCTAGAATCACTATGTTATGCGCGCAGCAAACAAGTATAGACTGAAAATGAGTAAGCTTAACAATGTATCAATCGGAAAGCCGATCACCATGGGTCCATTACTGCCATGGGTCTTCTCAATTATAGCAACTAATGTTTTCCCTTCAGCAAAACCAACTAAAATCTGGGTGTGAGTTTCAAATTCAATTTTGAAGATCTCAGCTTTTTAAAATTGTCCGAGATTAAGAAAGGATGTCTTGTAATCACATGAACAAAAGAATATCTTGTAATCCCATACATACTAAAGAGGGAAATGAGCTCAAGTCTCAAGTCTAAACTAAATATTTAAAGGGAATTTTTTATTATTTTTTTTTGTTAAGGGAAGGGCCAAAAAAAACTTGAACGTGTTTTTTATTTTTTTATTTTTTTAACTTGGGAGTGCCATAGGCACGGGTGGTTCTTTTACGATATGAAATGTGGTTCTTTTACGATGAAATCATGAAACTGTCCTATTTATACCCAATAGACAGTATAAGTTGATTTTACTATTACCCAATACTATCAATTTAACTGAATTGAATCAATCTGCCAAAGATATGAGTTATTGCACATTGTTTTCGTATGCATTTTGTTAATTTCTTTAGACCAAGAATCAAATCATCTAATTTGAGCAATCAATCAAAACCACACACAAATGCAGATGCCAAACTAATAATATAAAATTTAAGCTAAAGATGCACTGTTTTATGCCAATATCAATAACTTACCAATCAATAATACCAAGAACAAAAAGAGATTAGATTCCACAATAAACATAGTTAAATCATTACACTATGAAAAAAAATAGAATTTGGAAATTAAATTGAAAGTAGACTAACAAATAGAAGGCTTCTCTATTAAACCAACCGATAATTATGAAATTCTAAACAATCAATTAGAGGATTCTATGTAAATAAGATGACTTTTATTAATGAGATTAATCAAAGATTGAACAAGATGATACTACAATTCCAAATAATTAAGTTATGAAATTCAAAACCAATTTGAAATCTTAGTAAATCAAAACTCCGACTCAATTTCTATAAGTCTAAAACAAATTAACTCATGAATTTACCTTTTATATCAATAACTCATGCCTCAACTTGAAATTGCTTACATTGGTAAAGTTTCAAATTCCATGGAAATTGAATACATTTGTACCAATTAAACAAAATCAAAATTTTATTTAGATTTAACTGTGATAGGGGGTGGGAGTGAGTGGGAATCATTCCATTATGAATCTTCAGCCTAAAACAAAATCCAAACACCTGTGGGCTCAACTGGTGGTGTATGATGAGATTACAAATGTACATTAAATATTGAGGGGAAAAAACAAAGGTGAGAAAGGTTCAAATGAAAACCTCTTTGTACAAAATGCAATAACAACATACTAAAAATCCTAAAATTCCCATATTAATATACCAATAAAAACATGAAATAACAACCCATTCACATGAAAAATATATCTAAAAATCTAAGTTTGGGTGCTCACCACGAAAAAGTTATTGAACCCATTAAATATAAATCTTAAGAGAGAGAGAGAGAGAATCACCACAAATCAACTATGTAGAGCATGTGTTGGTCTTCAAAATCAAAGAATCATGGAAGTCAGAAATTATTGAAATCAACTTCCAAACTACCCATAATAGCTGTCGACAATGGTGGATAAAAGAAAATAATAAATTATTAAGAAAAATGAAAACCAATATGATGGCTCATAACTCTATATAATCAAAGGAAACTAGACCAAAGCCGTTTAATTTATAAGTGAAAACAAAGTACTACCACGACAAATTATCAATCAGAAACCCCAATGGATTTTAATTGCCTTGAAAAATTATACTTTCATTTGGGTTTAAAGTTCTGTGTATGGTGGGGAGGATCGCCACGTATATAATTTTGAACAAACTTGCATGTGCTCAAATCATTAGAATGTTATTATTACAATTAGAAATTGGAAGTTATACCTTACCTTTTGAAGAATTTATGGATAGGCACAGAAAGATATTTGAATTGTTTTTTAAGTGATGTGCAACAAAAGGAAACATTAAAATGCTTTAGTAAGCATGCAAATCAAATACTTACCACAATGTTTGGATGCAAAAGGGTTCTTAAGAAGTTTCACTTCTTCCTCAAGCTCTCTAATGTGAACCTATTAAGCAAATTTAAAGCAATGATTCAGATATATAGGACCACAAACACAATGCTTCATATACAAATTACCATAAATGTAAATAAAGCAATTAAATTGGAAATGATTTTCTATTTTGAAGCACTCTTACTGCAATTGAAAGCTTCTTAGATACATATCAATACCAAAAACAATTGAAAAAACTAACACAAAAATAATAAATATATCCACAAGAATCACCATAAACAAAATATATCTTTTAGAAATGAAGGAGCACCAAATCCAAAATAAGTGAGAGCACTTCTCAAAATAATAAATAAAAAAAAGTATAAGAACATTACCCCAAAACAAAACCCATTGCTCACATCCTTTGTGCACCATAACTCATCATCATTTTGCAAATCACCACTGAATAATGTGCCAGATAAAGCTTAAGTAAATACAAAAGTATTCAATAAATACCAAAAATATTTTGTCTAATTTGAAACTATGAGTAAAAATATGACCATCTATTTTATTTTCAGCTTAATGTTAACAGTCAGGTTAACCTTTCACATTAACCCATTTAATGTTAACAATCCTCAACCCATTTGACTAACATGAAATAAAAATGGGTGTTAACATGAAACCAATTTTTTCCTTAACCCCCATTTGATTTGATAGAGAGCTGCACTGTACAACTGCAACCAAGAGTTACAGCGTTTGGTAGGTAAGGAATGGCCTTCTTCTGCCACCAAGGGTTGAGGGGGTTTTCTAACGTTATTGAATATTTACTTGTTACATTGCAACTCAATTCAAAAAGTTGCACCCAAGGTTATTAAAATCGGTATCCTACATTGGATCATTGGAGGAGTTTACTTGATCGGATCATAGAATCAAATCGAAGATCATAAGATCTTGCTGAAATTGACAAATTACGTAATAATTTAATTTAAATAAATATTTCTTAAAAAATGTACACAAATAAGCCTAAATTATACTAAAACTAATAGAACTCCATGTAAAATGTAAATATAATATTATATGATGGAAAACTCGATATTAAAAGTTTTGCATTTCATCAAAAAAGGTGAAAAAGAAGAATTTTGTAATAGAACACTTTGCAATTTACAATAATGCATAAAAAGTGAAAGAAAAATATTTAACTTTAACCCCAAGAGGTTGGCCTAATGGTAAGTCCTTGGGTCTTGGGAGTGTGCTCCTTCTAAGGTTTAAGGATCGAAACCTCTTAGGTGCTAACAATTCCTTGGAGCCATCAGATTGGGAGAAAACGCTTGAATGAATGGTGGTGCACTTGCGGGAAGCTCCTTATCGAGGGCCTTTACATCCTTGGAGATTAGTCGGACTTTTAATCTAGACACTCCGGTGCCAATCAAAATATATATATATATATATATTTAGCAAAGTTGGATATGAAATTAGATTGAGAACTCAAAAGAACGGCTTGGTCAAATGATAAAGTTTGTCCTTAGCCTTGTGGAGCGGGTTTGAGTCACAAAAACAGTAGTTTCGAAAACTGGGTTAAAGTTGCGTACATCTTACCCTCCTCAAACTATGCTAAGGCTAAGTTTGTTTTTCTTGCTAGTTAGTTTTCTTTTGTTTTCCTAGTTTGTTTCTCTTAATCCATTTGATTCAATATTACTTTTTTCTTTATTCACTTGGACTATATAAATTGGTATTTAGACACAAATATAAAATTTACAATAAAATAGGCCAAAAATACAAAATGAGACTTACAAATTGGATCGGATAGGATCAGATTCGGATCGGGATTCCACGATCCTATAAGATCCAATTACTAGGTTTGTAAGATCCTACCTGTAAGGGATTTTTTACAAGATTTGAATCCTACAAAAATGATGTTAAGCTTTTAAGACTTTCATTTTTCTTATTAAATCCACAACATTTCTTGTAAGGTCATTATATTTTTATCCTGCAAATCTTTGAAAAGCTTTTTTCTTTTAACAAACTTCAATGTATTACCTTGTCAATTTTTGATTTGATTTGATTTTTTTTGATGTCCTTTTTCTGCTAATTTTTGTTTGGTTTCTAAGATAATTAATGAAACTAGAAAGACTTAAAGGTGCAAGATTTTTCCTCTTTCTTTTTGTTTTTGTTTTTAAATTTGAATTATTTTATAAAAAAATTGTCAAGTAGTTTTATGCGCCACTTTTTCACTAGTTTCTTTATCTATGATCCTACACATATATGTTAATACATATCATTTAATAAACGCTTTAATGGCCGTGTATATATTTTCACATTAAACACACTTTAATGTTCATATTTATATTTTCACATTAGACACTCTCACTCTCGCACCATCTCAAATAATTAGCTACTTATCGACCCAGTAGGCCCCTAGAGAGTAGTGCTGGACTTTCTCTCTCTATATTTCCCTATGCCCATTCCAATGACTTTTTGGCAGTCTTGTGAAGAGGTGTGAGACCTTCTCACTCTAGAGATTCTTGCACCCCTTCAACAACTTTTCGACGCTTTTTCAATAAGCTCCAATTACATTTCTATCGTGTAGATCTAGGTTTTTATGCATACACAGAAGAGTTTAAGAGCTTCTCTCTAATTTTGACATAGAGAGTGCTTTCTCCCTCTATCGTTAATAGATTTTTGGTTATCAGCACCCACAATAGTACTCATTACTATTGTGGGTGTTCTTGAGCTTTGGTTACCCTTGGTTATTGGCGATTGAGACGGCAACGGTGGAGTTTGATTAACAGCAACAACGACGACAATGGGTTTGATTTTAAGTTTGATAAAAATCTTATTTCTTCACACTACATTTGTAAAAAGATTGGAAGTTTTCAAAGTCGTTGCTTTTTTAATTATTTTCTTTGGCGGCTTTTTGTAGTTCGAGTAGGTTCTTTATTTGGGTTTGTGGCCTTTGTGGTATTTTTCTTTTTCATTATCTTGTAAGTTGCTTTGGTTTTTATATAAACTGCATTTCTTCATCCTCAAAAACTAATTATCTAGAATGTTCTCATTAAACTATTTGCCAATTAATAGTATTGTCCATTACTTTTTGGTAATTAATTTCATTATTACACTCATCCAATTTTTATGGCAAGTAATCAACCACATATTAAGTAATTTAACTATGACATTTGTGATATCAACACTATAAATTATCATACCTTACATATAATATACATTAAAAAAAAGTGTATATTGTAAAAGGATCCCTTTTCAAAATGTATATTTGTGTTGACATAAGAATGTGTTTACCTTTTAAGACTTTCATGTTCTTGATTAAATCCACAACAATTCTTGTAAGGTCATTATATTTTTATTTTGCAAATATTTGAAAAGCTTTTTTCCTTTAACAAACTTCAATATGTTACCATGTCAAATTTTTTTTAAATTTTTTTTTCGATGTTTTTTGGCTAATTTTTGTTTAGTTTTTGAGACAATTGATGAAACTAGAAAGACTTGAAGGTGTAAGATTTTTCTTTCATTTTTTTATTAACTTTGAATTGTTTTATAAAAGAAATTGTCAAGTAGCCTTCACTAGTTTATTTATATATGATCCCACACATATATGTTAATATATATTATTTAATACGCACTTTAGTTGGTGTGTATATATTTTCACATTACACACACTTGAATGGCCATATATATGTATGTTTACATTTGATACTCTCACTTTCGCTTCTCTCAACTAATTAGTTACTTATCTCGTGGACGGGTGCGCAACTTTCTATCTCAAGAGATTCCCAATACCCCCTCCAATGACTTTCTGACAATCCCGTGAAGAGGGCTGTGGGACTTTCTCTCTCTAGAGACTCCCAATGCTCATTCAATGACTTTTTGACGCGTTTTCGATACACTCCAAATACACTTCTATCGTGTAGCAGATCTGGGTGTTTGTGCATACGGAGAAGAGTTTGAAAGCTTCTCTGTAATTCTGACACAGAGAGTGCTTTCTCCTTTCATGGTTCTTAAATTTTGGGATTATCAGCACCCATAATGGTTTACCCATTACTGTTGTGTGTGTTCATGAGCTTTGGCTATCCATGGTTACTAGCTTTATTTTTTTGGGCATTTTTTTTAGTTTGTATAGGTTTCTTTATTTGGGCTTATGGGATTTGCTCTATTTTTCTTTATTTTTTAAGTTTATTGGTTTTTATCTAAAAAAAATTTAAATTGCAAATCGACCCATTTAACCCAATAAAAATAAATATATATGCTTTTCTTATATTTTTATTATTTTTCTAGTTAATTTTATAATTAAATAATTTAAAATTAATATTAATATTTTATAAATAAGCGACTCATGCAGGTATAAGCTAAAGTTTATCATCCTAAATCCAACTTAAAAATTAAATGAAGTTAAAATTGTAATTTGATCCGATCTTATAGAGTAGACTTCTTTTTTTTTTTTCTTTTTCAAATCTTACAAATATTGATCTTAATTCGGCCGGTGATGGGCCCATGAGCACCCCTATCCCCAACATTTAAAGCAAATGACACAACAAAAGAATCTCTGGAAGTTTCATTTTTCTTCGACCAAGTGGTGAAAACTGCCCTCAATTTTCTTCAGAGAAGGAAATTGCCACTGTAAGAATCTGTATCAAATTCGGTGGAGACACTGGTTAGCGAAGCTGGAATCAACCTTAGAAACTGTATCAAATTCGGTGGAGACACTGGTTAGTGAAGCTGGAATCAACCTTAGAAACCCTTTCTCTTCAATTTGGTATGTTCTATTTTAATTTTTGATATTTGATAAAATTTTGTGATCATTCTGCTTATTTTATCCTATTTGAAATTAGGAATTTGTTTCAATTGATAAGTAAAAGTGATAGATTTTTAACTATTTGTGTGGTGTTTGTTGAATTGCCCAAATGAATATGCCTCTTAATGGATAGATTAACTAGAAAAATAAACTATTACTAAATTGGAGTTTGGCAACATTGAAAAAAGCAGCTTATTTATCAACTGGTGCAAAAAGCAAAAGGCCAAGACTTGTGGGTCCTTTTCCAGTTTGGGAAGATGACAACTAAAAAAAATGTGAATTTACCGAAATACTCTCATTTATTTCCATTGTTTAGGGCAGACCTCTTCCCCTTCACACCTCTTCACTTATGCCTCTCTTGAAGTGTTTGGGTAAATTGTGGTCTGCCGTCAACAGAAAACAAACAACGCCGATCTGTGTCGGCTATTGTTGTCACCGACCTTCGTTGCCCATTTGCGTCGGCTATCTTCCTCACCGGTCTTTGTCGGCTGTCTTCCCACTGTGGTAAGCCTTTTCCCTTCCACTCTATAGATGAATAAATGGATTCTGGTAGGCTGCCATGTTTCGTAGATGTTCAACAGACCTGCCCCAAATAATAGTGGGTTTTGTTTGAATACAGTATTAATTAGTTTTTTAAGATATGTTCGCATCAACTCTGTGATACGTGAATTTTAGGGTCAGATCTTTTGGGTTAAATGAAACCAAGACAGTGTGGGTGATCTTTTTCTTTTTGTACATGTTCACTCATCATCTCATGTACATTAGAGAAGTTCATTTTCTGAAATCCTGATTTCATCACTTCTGGATTAGAGAAGTTCCATCGAGATATCTCGTATTGATGGTATTTTTGGGCATTTTTCTTTGGTTGTGACAAGGATAATGGTTTTGCTAATTTCTGAGTTGAGTTTAAAAAGGGTGTATCTTACCAACTTGCGATCAGTTCATTGGATACTTTACCAAATTTAACATTCGTGATGCCACTTTGATTTTTTTGGAAATACCATACCAAATTAACATTTCCCTACTAATTTTGGTGAAGTCAATCTTTGGTTGTTCTAATTTTTTGGGAGATCTTTACCAAATGATCTTACCACAACCATTGCCAAGAAAAAAGAAAAGGTACACTTTACAGCATTTGCCAGCAGGGGTGGAACTAGGAATTTTTTCTGGGAGAGGCCAATGTATATGCATATTGTGAGAATATATTGTATATATATAGATTGTGTGTATATGGCATGAGTGTGTAAATAGGAATTCATTTGTATTTCCTTTTTCAATCATAGTTTGTATTTCCTTTTTCAGTCATAGACTTAGGGCTATATAAACTGATGAACTCTTTGTAAATTGAAACAATCGAATATACAGAAAAGCTTTCAGGAATCTTGCATGGTATCAGAGCTATCACCGAACCCTAGAAGTTGCTAGTCTCTTTGCATCGTAGGTTGTGGTCTTCTCCATTGATCGCAATTGACTACTTGTTTGGTTCTTCTATTCGGAGGTCACTCGCTTTCTCTTTCTTAATCGATTGGTCCGTCTAGGTTGATTTGTTCATCAGTTGTCTGGGTTCAACTCGCAACTCCTCTTAGCCTTAACGAGTCACGAAACCCTTTCAAATCATCTGGGTTCTCTCTGGTTCAGCTAGTCGACCACACATCGTGGGTCATCTGGGCTGTTTGATCGACAGTCCTCTGTTTCTGGTTTGATACATCATCACGGATTTCCCCCATTCGTTCGTCTGCTGCTCTCTCTCTCTCTCTCTCTCTCTCTCTCTCTCTCTGTGTGTGTCGAAGTGAAGCCCTCTGTTTCTTTGTTGGTATTGACGAAGTTCCCTCTCTCTTCGTCTTTGGTCTCGTCTCTGTTCTCTGATAAGAAAGCTCCCTTTCTTTGTATTGGTTCTCTGACCTTAGTCCACTAGGTTTTGTCCTTATTGAACTTTGACCACATCAGTATCAGTACCAGTGTGTATCATATTGGGGTGATTTGGTTCTGGTTGTTTGGGATTATTATATGTTTTGACTCATCAGTTGTTGGTTTATTATACTCAAATCCTTTTCCTTTCTATTTATTACGATGTTTTTGGCTTTTGATGAGTGTGCCTTCTGCCATCAAAGGGGTCATTGGAAGTATCATTGTCCTAAGAAGGGATGTTTGTCTGCCTTGTCTTCTTAGCAGTTTCCGATCCAGTTCTGCACCCCTTCTCCGAATATTTTTAGCCTCTCGCCGGTTCTACTGCATCTGCTCCGGTTCTTAATCCTAACTTGGCTTCCTTGAGTGCTCAGATTAATCAGCTTCAGCATATCCTGTCTATCTCCCAGCCATCCCCGTCTATGTCCATTGTTTCCTCTTTTCATTTAGGTTTGCTTGGGTCTTCGTCAAGTATTTCTTCGTCTGTCCGGATTTTTGACTTTGGTGCCTCTCATCATATGACTCTCCATCTTCCCTTACTTCAAAATTGTACTCATCCCTTTCCTCTTACTGTCAATGCTGCTAATAGGTCTGGTATGTTTGTTATATCTGTTGGGTCTGTCCTACCATCTGTTATGTCTGCTGTCTCTATTCCATCTGTCTTTTATGTTCCTTAGTTATCTATCAGTTTATTATTTATCAGTTAGCTTGATGCCTCTGGTTTTGATGTTATCTTTTCTTCTTCTATTTGTTCTGTGCAGGATCGGATGTCTAAGCAACAGATTGGGACCGGCTGTAGGGTTGGAGACCTTTATGTAGTGGAGACGTCTATGTGGTGGAGAGCTTGCATCTGCCTATAGCAACCTCTCAAACTGCCTTTTCCTCTTTACAGTTAGATTCTCTGTCTAGTCCTTTCTATTTGTGGCATTTTAGATTAGGGCATTTGTCTGCTGATCGCTTATGGTCTTTAGTTCAATCGGGTATATTGGATAAAGCTTCTCTTAGTGAACTTACTGAATGTCGGGGGTGTAAACTTGCCAAAATGACAACCTTACCTTTTCACAAAAGTACTTATATATCTAATATACCATTTTCTTTAGTTCATACTGATGTTTGAGGCCCTTCTCTTCTTCTCACCAAAGGGGGTTCTGCATACTATATGTCTTTTGTTGATGACTGCACCCGTTACACTTGGGTTTATCTTATGACTCATAAGTCTGACTTCTACCAGATATACTGTACCTTCCAGTCTATGGTCACTACACAGTTTGAGTCTATTATTAAATTGTTGCGGTTTGACTTGGGCGGGGAATATTTTAAAACTGAATTCTGTGAATACTTGGCCAACTGATACACCTGTCCAAAATGGTCGAGCTGAGCGTAAACACCGTCATCTTCTTGAGACAGCTAGTTCTCTCCTTCTCTCTGCCTCCGTTTTGGCTCCGTTTTGGGGTGAGGTAGTTCTTACTGCTGCTTTTCTCCTCAACTATATGCCTACCCTCCTTTTTGGTTGGTCTCCTTATGAGGCTCTGTTTTCCCAACTTCCGAATTACTCCCTCCTTTGTGTGTTTGGATCTGTTTGTTTTGTCCTTTTATCCCATAAAGATAGGACCAAACGTAGTGTCCGATTTATTCTCTGTGTCTTTTTGGTTATAGTCTCACTCAGAAAGGATATCACTGTTATGACCCTGTTTCTCGTCGCCTTTATGTCTCCTGCCATGTTGCCTTTCTCGAACGTCTACCTTACTTTTAGCTTCCTTCTCTCACCGCCCCTATTTCCAAAGAAGATTTGGTTCAAATTGATCGATTTCCTTTTGAGGTCCCGTCTGATAAGTACATCTCCACTATTCCTTCCGAGCTTGTTCCATCATCTTCTCCTGCTTCACCTTTGGTTGCTTCTCCTCCTTCGGCTTCTCCTCATCTGTTGTTAGTTTATTCTCATCGCAAGGCTCCTCCTCACTAGTTGTCTCTACCCCTGCTGCTGATCCTCCTGCTTCTGACGACTCTGATCTTGCTGCACACCAATATCCTACTCGTGAGCGTCGTCCTTCAAACAGGTTGGGTTGGTCTAATATATGTTTTTCTGTTTCTTATCGTACTTTTTTGTCTGTTATTCATTCTTTTTCAAAACTTCAGTCTTACATGGAGGCCTGCCAGGATCCTAATTGGGTTCAAGCTATGGAAGATGAGTTGTTTGCCTTGCAGAAGACTAACATTTGGGAGTTGGTTCCTTTGCCTGCTGGCAAGAATCTGGTTGGTTGCAATTGAGTCTATAAATTCAAGTTTCATTCTGATGGTTCTCTCGAGCGATACGAAGCTCGCCTGGTTGCCAAGGATTTCTTGCAAGAGTATGGTATTGATTATGAGGAGACATTTGCCCCTATTGTCAAGATGACTACTGTCCGTACCTTGATTTTTGTAGCTGCTATTCGACATTGGCCTCTCTATCAAATGGACGTTAATAATACTTTTCTTAACAGTCATCTCACTAAGGAGGTCTACATGCGTCCTCCCTGTGGCCTTCTCCACTCCTCTAGGCAGGTTTGTCATCTTCGGTGTGCTCTATATGGTTTGAAGCAATCTCCTCGTGCTTGGTATGATTGCTTTCAGACTGCTGTTACCGAGATTAGGTTTCATACTTCTGCTTCCGACTCTGTTTTGTTTCTGAGACATACCTCGCCTGGTTTTGTTGCTCTCTTACTCTATGGATGATATGATCATCACTAGCTCTGACTCTTCTGCTATCTCTGAGGTCAAGCAACATCTCTTCCACACCTTCGAAATGAAGGATCTGGTCCCTTGCGGTAGTTTCTTGGTATTGAGGTTGCCTTTTCTCCAAAGGCCTACTTTCTGTCTCAGGCCAAGTATGCTAATGAGGTTATTCACCGTGCCAGTCTTATTGATACTAAGGTTTTTGATACACCTATTGAGCTTAATGTGAAGCTCAACTATACTGATGGTGTCCCTTTGGATGATCCCACTTTCTATTGCGAGTTTGTGGGTTGTGTAGTTTATTTGACTGTCATTTGTCCTGATCTTGCTTATGCTGTTCATGTGGTTAGTCAGTTCGTTTCTGCTCCTCGCTCTACCATTAGATTATTTTGGTTCGCATTCTTCGCTATTTCCGGGGTACCATCTTTCAGGGCCTACTGTTGTCCTCTACTTCTTCCTCTTTGGACTTGGTGGCCTATGCTGACTCTGATTGGGCTAGTGATGTTAATGATCGTAAGTCCACCTCTAGTTTCTGTATGTTTTTTGGCGATTCTTGGATCTCTTGGAAAAGTAAGAAACAAACTGTTGTTGTTCGCTCTACTATCGAAGCTGAGTATCGTGCTATGGCTCATGCTACTGCCGAACTTGTTTGACTTCGTTGTCTTCTCTCTGATTTGGGTGTATCTCAGTTTTCTCCGACCTCTCTCTATTGTGACAACTGCAGTGCTATTCAGATTGCCCACAATATTGTCTTCCATGAACAGATGAAACACATTGAGATTGATTGTCATTTTGTTTTGTCCGACAACATTTGCAGTCTGGCTCTCTCTCGCTTCTTTTTGTCTCCTCGGCTTTGCAACTTGCGGACTTCTTCACCAAGACTCATACTACCGCTCAGTTTCAGTTTCTTCTTAGCAAACTCTCAGCGTTTTCTGCTAAAACACTTTGAGTTTGAGTGAGGTTGTGAGAATATATTCTATATATATAGATTGTGTATATATGGCATGAGTGTGTAAATAGGAATTCGTTTGTATTTCATATTTCAGTCATAGTTTGTATTTCCTTTTTCAGTCATAGATTTAGGGCTATATAAACTAATGAACTCTTTGTAAATTGAAACAATCGAATATACAGAAAAGCTTTCAGGAATCTTAAACATATAACATACATAATTAGTTTGATTCATTACTAATTTATCATAGTTTCTTGTATAAGCATTGCAACAGAAGTATTTTACAAGAAAACTAATAAATCTCACAAATAATTTTTTTCAAGTTTTAAAAGTTTTGAACTATTGATTAGATCTCACTATACAATGAGTTCATTCTTTTATTTATTTTTTTTTTTAATCAAATTTGGGTAAAAAATTAGCTTTAAGCTTGATTTGATATGGGATGCTCATGCTCCAATGGCTTTTCATCAAATTTAACTGCAAGCTTGATTTGGTGAAATTTTTTTAATGCTCCAATCCTCACTTTAAAAATTCGTCAAATCCTTTTTACGAATTGGGTTTGGCTTCTCAAGTTCAAATCTTGGCTTGAGAGAACTAGAGAGGAGAACTTGAGTGGCTCGTGGGGTCCGCTCAAGTTTTGTTTCGATGATCCAAACCATTCATGTAGGGGCCTTTGTGTATATCATCCATGAAAAAAATTATCACAGTGGAATAATGGCAACATTTTCATTTCATCATGTCTATTTCCAAAAATGGACGATGAGTATGTTTTGAAAATAGACCATATTTTTTTGCGATAAACATGGTAAATATAGATATTACGATTATTGGACTGAGCTACTTTTTTTCATAGATGATATATACAAAAGATCTTATGAAATGAATGGTTTGGATCATCGAAACAGGATATGTGGTGTGTCCCATGAGCCCTCTAGTGAGGCTTTACTCTTAAAAATTCCATGCTTATCCCCAAAAGTTTGTTTCATCAAATCTAGTGAAAAACTTATTTTGCCTTGATTTGAAGAAAATTTTGATTTGATACAAATTTGATGAAATGATTGGAGTCATTTTCTTGAAATTCAAATTTGACACAAGATTTTGTGAAGGATGGGAGAATGCTGTAATGAATTATACTAGTAACTAGATCACATCATAGTTATAAGGAAAATGCTTGACAAAAAGGAATTCTAGTAGTGGGATTAGTTAAAATAGAAAATGTAGTTTTTTAACTAAAATTTGGCTGACGTTTAAAAGTTTGATGGAGATGCGTATTCTCTGTTCTTGTTCTGGGTTGTGCACAGGGAAAAATGACCAACAACAAAAGAAAGCTAATTATTGGCTACAATTCATCGGAACATACACCAGCTGCAGAATTAATTGGCAGCAATGCAGATATCCTAACAGAGATCCTTACCTGTGTGCCGGCAAAGTTCCTCATCAGATTCAAGTGCGTGTCTAAGGATTGGCTCTCTTTAATCTCCGATTCACAATTTTCTTGCAACCACTCTCACCGAGATCCCAATGCCTTGTTCTCAGGACTATTCATCAACCCTTGTACATCAGACAATGCACAAGTCAAGTTTGTCTCACTTCACGGCCACCACCAAGTCTTCCGACTCTGTCATTCCTAAATGGTGTTGGAGATGGGTCTGGTACATAGAGGATTGAAGACTCTTGCAAAGGCTTACTGTTGAATGGCACATGTTTCATTGTTTGTAACCTGACCACGCAGAAATACACAGTACTTCCCTGCCCCTATCATGGTGGCAGTACATCATCTTCTGTACAATTTCATCTCAAGTTTGGTGTTTTCTGGAGTTCATCTGGATCATTGGGTAATATGTTTGGTGGTTATTTGGTTTTTGATCCTTCAAAATCACCTAACTACAAAGTTTTATTGATAAGTTACATTAGGAATAGTGATGGATGCTTTTAATTAATTGACATATACTCTTCGGAGAGTGCCTCTTGGACATACATGTGTGCCGCTGCACCACCAGGTTACTCTTTCACAAAAAGGGTATTTTGGAATGGGGCAATTCATTGGATGAGTTACGATAACATTTACATTCGATTGGATGTTGATGCTCAGAAGCTAATAGGAACTCCAATGCCTTCATACCCTAAAATTCTTTCCGAAGAGAAGATTTGGTATTTTGGAGAATGCTGTGGCCATTTACTTCTTGTTCAGCTTTGTCAGTGCTGTGCTATGGGATTCAAAATTCTTGAGATGGAGAGGGACCGCTGTCATTGGATGTAGAAGTACCAGGTGAGTCTTGGACCTATAATATCTCTTTTTCCCGAGATAGATGAGAGACGCAGACTCATGCTTGAAACGCCCAGCTTCAGTAAAATTTCTGTACTATGTGCTGTGAAGGGAGCAAATGAAAAAGATTTTACGTTGGTGTTATCTATTCCTGGCAAAATTGTTTCCTATAATCTGAAGTGCAAGACAGTGAAGGTGCTTTGTGATTACCAAACTAGATTTTATGAATGTCCTGGTTACAAGGATGCTTCTTGTGCATCATATGCTTTTGAGTATGTTTATGAATTCCATGAGAGCCTGGCCACTGTTTGAGCTTGTTCTACATGTTGGAGCAGATGTGCCTTTTGTAACCTTCTTATTGTTCTAAAGCTTTTGTTTAGTACTGTTTTTTTTTTTTTTAGAATTCTGTAATGTATAAGCTTTGTTTTTCACGTACTTCTCCCTTGTGAAAGTAAGTCATGCCCTCCCATTTGGGGATTTATGGTGTCAAATAATTATATTTGTTTTTGTTGTTTTTGGTTTTTCAGATTGTTCTTTATATGAAAATTTCTATGGCCATTTGAAAGATAAGGTAGTTGTGGGAATTGATAACGAACCATATCAAAGAGTTTGAGTCAATAAAATATTTCATAATGAAGAAATAGGGGAAGAACAATCTGAAAATCCAACAATTCACCTCAAAATATTGCACATATATCATAATGTTCACATGCTTATTAGTTAATATGGTAAGCAGATTGTTCCATCTATTGCTGTATTTAGCGCTTTTTTCGTTGCCAAGTGCTAGTAAGGTGCAGAGCCTTCTCTGAATTTCTTTCCTTTCCCCTTCATCTTGTAGACCAATGAATGGCAAAGTTGAAGAATAAACAAAAAGCTATCTTTCTATTTTTATATTTTTCTCTCATTTCTTTCTCATTCTATATTTGTAAATCTTGATGCATTTCTGGCCAGTTGGTCTGAATCCCTTCAAGTCTTGCAACAGGGTAAAGCTTTCTCTTGCTCGAGGTTATAGAGTTCGATGTGTCAAAAAAGTGACATCTTCATTCCCTCAAGGAGATTTTGGGTGCAACAGTGATATTAGATGACATTGTCACGTAATGTCATGTATCAATGAATGATTTAAAGGAGGTTGGATGAGGACCACTTGGTTGATTAGGATTGAGCATAAAAACCAAAAAAATTGCAAACCAATTCGGTCCAGGCCAAATTGCACACTTTGGTTTAGTTTTCTTAATGCACGGTTCGATTCTAGTTTTTGAAATTGGCAAACTGTGTTTCACGGTTTAGTCTGTGGTTTTCACGGTTTAGTCTGTGGTTTTATAGTTACAAATCCAATTGGAATCGAACCAGATTGTTTACATCATATATAATTTGTTACTGATAGTAAATACTAAAATATCTTATTAATATCAAATATTATAACTCTATGCTATTATTAGTATATTTTTGTATAGTGATAGAACTAGTTTTAAACAATCATGTAAATAATTCTTAGGTTGTGAAAAATATTTTGTGATCATATTGTGAATAAATGATAATATTTTTAAAATTCACAGTTCCAAACCAAACTGAACTGTGGTTTCCAAGAATTTCATGGATTGGTTTGGTTCTAAATTTGATGGAATGGATTGGTCTTGGTTCACGGCTAAACCAAACCAACCCAACCCAAACTATGCTCACCCTTATGGTTGATCACTCCCTCCCTTCTCATTTGGTTGGTCCCATTAATTGATTACACCAAGTAAGATGTCACCCTTGCGCTCAATATTGATTTCATTACCATAATTTACAAATTTATTTCTTAGTTTGATTGTTTTATGAATTTGTAGGAATGTGTTGGGAGTACACAATTGGTCATATGATGTGAAAGGGATTCGAAAAATACTAATGTTTGTACACAATACAAAAGGGTGCACAAAGAATGTATTCAAAATTTTGCACACTTCTCATAAATAGTATATATGATACACCAACTTATCAAGACAATATATTCGACGCCCATTCATAGTTATCAGTCCTCTCAAGCTATAAATATGTGAAAACTAGTGAGAAAGTCATTTCAGTGGATGTGACATTGACAATTTCAAAAAGAGGAAGACGATATATGTTTGTTTTATATGTGCAATCCATAATCAACACACTTGGAAATGAACGAAATAAATCCAAACTAACAGAATGTGCTCAAAACAAGTCTATCATAGTCATAATGTCCTCTTTACATCGATGACGTTCAATTTAATTATACTTCTCTAATTCACCCAAGAGTTGTTGTATCTATGATATTCCAATTTTCTCTACAACCTTGCTTTGTTGACGCACAATGTAATGGTTTTCAGTGCATTAAGGGCATCCCTCTATTTCATTATAATTAAAATCTCTTTCGATCTGACCATACTCTTTGACATATCCATTCACAATAATTTCTTATCATTTGACAATATACATGCACCTGAATGTCCCTCAAGATGCTTTGTAGCTAGATGGTTATGCAACCTGCATACTACATTTAGTGACCATTCATCCTTTGTGGTCAACTTGTATGTCCTCAAATCAAAAGGACATTTGCACTTCTTCATACCAGTTATTCTCAACATAGTTTTTGAATCATCTTTCAACTTCTTTCTTGTTCTATATTGGCAACTTCTCTCACAAACAAGATAAATCCTTGGTCTTTTACGACCTCCACCATAATTCGATGTTTTTATAGTAACGACAAAATCATTCATCTTTCTAACATTACATACCCCAATTGAGTAATTTACCTTCTTTTTTTTTTTGGGATCGGCAAAGTAAAAATTTCATTAAAAATATGAAATTAAAGGTACAATAAAAAAAGATGCACTGAGAGAGATTCAGAGAGTACTACTCTCATTCTTATAACCAAACCCTCGGCCTTACAATTTAAGAAGGAAAAAAAAGAACAAAAAAGAACCAAAAAAAAAAAAAGTTGAGAAGAACTAAATTCAAAATACATTGAGCCCCAAACAATCTGCCTACCACAACTCAAAGCTAACCCCCCAGCCAATAGCAATTTATCTTGGTTATTGAAAACCTACAAATTAAATGGAATGAATATTATGAAAAATATATATCATAAATACATGAATTGTAAGGAGCTTCATTTAGTTAACATGTTTAATTGTAAATTGACTAGTGTAATAAAGTACATAAGTACATAATCAAAGTGAACCTCGCTTCCTTGAGTTGAGGCATAGAACTACAATAAGACCCAAACAATAGAAACCTAAGTTTTAAAAACATATGGGTTGGGAAATTCATAATCGAAATTATAAGAAGAGTTCAAACTACTGTACCAAACAAGTGTCCTCTATTTGGAACTTTAGTTTTAGCTGGGGGGGAAAAATGTTTTGTTTGAAACTTCTTTGCCACCAAAAAAAAAGTTTGCAACTTGATTTCCGAAAAAAATAGATATGTTCAGAAGTATAATATTAAATATTACTAACTTTTTTAATACTACAACATTGAATAATTTTGACCCTAGCCTATCGAATGGTGCTAAAAACAAAAGACGATTTTGATATTCAAACTCACCTTTTCATGGATATCTTTGTCATAAAAGATGATATCCTTCTTAAAATCAGAGCTTTCATCATGCAAATACTTCATAATAACTAAATAATGATGGTGGGATTTGTTGCAGAATTTTCAAAATTAACTATTTAGTTTTTGGGTGTTTTCAAAACCTTCCTTGTTTTTCTTTGGAAAACTTGAAATTAGCTTGGGGACTTTGTCTTATATTGGAAAAAGAGGAAAATATGGAGCACTTAATAAAATGCTATATGGAATTGTGGGATTGATGCTAGTGTACATGCACTCACATCGCAAGGATGGTGCTACGCACATGCACTCGCTCGTGGCGTAGGCAGTGGGCTGTGTGGTGTTTGATAGCGCACTTTGCACTTAGCACGGGCACTTTCCTATTTGCATCGGATAGGTTGGAGCAATGACGTGGATCCAACGTGACATGGGTGGCGTGGAATGCAGTCAGCTCCACGTGGCAGTGATGTGGCGTCCGTTGGCGATGAGTCAACCAACCGATTGAACGGTTGTGTGTCCGATTTGGAGCGGTTTGATCATAGCTGTTGATTGGAGATGTGTGTGATCGTACAGATGAGATGGCACCTGATCATGATTAGGTGTGATTAGTTAAGGCATCTATTCGGTGTGAGAATGATCTGTACCATAGATCGTCGATCCAACAGTCAGATTTGATCAGATGCGATCAAGGGACATGACCATTCGATCAGGTGCATCAAGGCCTATAAATAGGCTGCGAAATCAGCTATTTCAATCCATCCAAAATTCAGAAATCATTCATGCAATTCTCTCTCTCTCTCTCTCTCTCTCTCTCTCTTTCCCTTTTGATTTAGAGTTTTCAATCAAGAGTTTCTGCTTTTCTTATTGGTAATCAAATTCTGCAGACTTGATTAATCAGTGTCTTGGTTTTCTTGATTATATTAAGAGTATTTTGATCTACTATCGTCAGTGCAAAAGCCAATAGACATGATCTTTAGATCAGCCTTCATTGTATCTTGGAGGTGAATTTGCTATAACCCCCCATACACCTTTTGGTGGGTGCAAATATTGTCTTTAGAAAAGTGACGAAGTAACGCGACTTGAAGCACCAATTTCTGTTCTACATAGACAAAATCATCACTAAGTTTTGAAGACCCAAAGACCACCAACTGAAAAATTCAAGACAAATTGTTTCAACAATATAAAGACAATATATAGATATGGCGATGTCTATTTAGAAAATGACTCAAGATTTCATGAAGCTTGACCGATTTGATAAAGGAAATTTCCGATGCTGGCAAAAGAAGATGCCCTTTTTGCTTACCACTCTCAAAGTGGTCTATGTGCTGACTACCCCCTATCCGGCGGAGCAAGAAGATGAGACTATGGAGCAAACCCGTACCAGAACCAAATGGGAGAATGATGACTACATTTACCGAGGACACATTCTGAATGCGTTGTCGGACTATCTATTCGATGTGTATCAACATCTGGAAACGGCAAAGCAACTTTGGGACATATTACAGTCAAAGTACCTCACCGAGGATGCCATCAGTAAGAAATTTCTTGTTAGTAATTTTATGCATTTTAGTATGATTGATACAAAGCCCATTATGGAACAATTCCATGAGATCCAACATATTCTGAGTCAATTTCAACAAAAGAACACGAACATGGATGAATCTATTATAGTTTCATCTACAATAGAGAAACTGCTATCTTCTTGGAGGGATTTTAAGAAAACTCTAAAATACAAAAGGGAAGATCTAACTTTAGAGGAATTGGCTCAACACCTCCAAGTTGAGGAAGAGTCAAGACTTCTTGAAAATAAAGATAGCCAATTGG